AGGGACTGGACGTCCATGGTAAAGATGAGGTGTTGGGGACCGGGGAATTGGAAGTTCTGGAGGAGGTGGAGGGCGTGGGTGGTGTCACGGACATAGGTAGGGAGTTCCTGGACCAAGGGGGAGCAAATGGAGTCCAGATAGTTGGAGATAAGTTCAGTGGGGCAGGAGCAGGTGGAGACAGTGGGTCGACCAGGGCATTCAGGTTTGTGGATTTTGGGAAGGAGATAGAAGCGGGCAGTGCGGGGTTGGGGAACGATGAGGTTGTGGATGGTTTGGGAGATGATGGTTTGGTGCTCAGGGGTGGGGTCATGATCAAGGGGGCGGTAGGAGGTGGTGTCGGAGAGTTGGAGTCTGGCCTCGGCGATGTAGAGGTCAGTGCGCCATACTACAACTGTGCCTCCCTTGTCCGCGGGTTTTATGGTGAGGTTGGGATTGGAGCGGAGGGAGTGGAGGGCTGCACGTTCTGCAGGGGAGAGGTTGGAGTGGGTGAGAGGGGTGGAGAGTTTGAGGCGATTGATGTCTCGACGGCAGTTGGAGATGAAGAGGTCAAGGGAGGGTAGGAGGCCTTGGGGTGGTGTCCAGGAGGAGGGGGTGTGTTGGAAGTGGGAGAAGGGGTCAGTAGAGGGAGGGTTAGGCTCGGTTCGCGGTTGAAGTAGTAAGCGTGGAGGCGGAGGCGGCGGAAAAACTGCTCTATGTGACTGAACTTTCAACTGCTAATGACTCACTGTTAGATTAAGTAAATTGTACATATAGTATTGTACAAACACCAACTTGAAAATGCTATGGCATGGACTTTGGATGTCATCCAAATGAAATATTCACACCTTTGTTAATCTGTCATTAAACACAGTTTTTTTTAGCTCTTAGTTTCAAATTTAAACAAGCGTGAGCGGTAGGCGGAAAAACAATGCAGGAGTTGTCGCGAGCGGAGGAGTAGTTTCTTCACAGGTACAATCCTCAACAACCTGCCTTTTCGTTATTAAGGCCGAATACACATGATAGATGAGAAAAATGATGATAGCAATGTTTAGATAATAATTATTCACATTTCTGATCTGCTGGAATTGCTCGCACATCCAAATAGTATGAGTATAAAGGTAAAACAACATTGTTTAATTTGTTTTTAAACAAATTTGTTTAAATTTGAAACTAAGAGCTAAAAAAAACTGTGTTTAATGACAGATTAACAAAGGTGTGAATATTTCATTTGGATGACATCCAAAGTCCATGCCATAGCATTTTCAAGTTGGTGTTTGTACAATACTATATGTACACTTTACTTAATCTAACAGTGAATCATTAGCAGTTGAAAGTTCAGATTTCACAGGTGCATTTATGTAAAACCACATGATTTGAAAAGTCACAGCAATAGCAGCGACATTTTTTGCTTTAATATATTGTTGCATATGTAAACTGTTGCCAATGTATATGGCAATAAAGTAAAAAAACAGATCAAGTGTAAAAATAACGCTCTAAGCACAGTTTTTCAATCACCTAAAACAGAAATCACCATCCTCCACAATGCTAAAACATACCAAATCAGCAATGCAGCCAACTAACATGACCCTATTGCTCCAAAAAATATTATTTGCAATACATTCCCTTAAAACATTTTTAAAAATTTGCAGTGTGCACTCTTTAACAATTAAAACAACAGATTTCTCGCCATGCTCTTACCTGATTATTAGGTTTATTAGAGAGGCATTTGCCAAAGTAAAGAGTGCCCTTATCACACAAGCTGCCACAAGCCGATCCATCAATAATTCCCTTCTTGTATTTATCACACTAGAAAAAAATAGCACAAGACTGTAAGGTCTTTTCAGAGGTATTGTTACACAAAAGGGGATTCTGAATTTTAAGCATATTTAAAGATGTAGACATGCATGCAATTGAAGCCAATGTTTGAAATAAACAAATCCAAACTTAAAAAAATATTATATTCACAAGGTACAGGATGGCAAAACTATCCTGAATTGCCCATTTTCAATTAAGAAAGTGATGATCGACAGTCTTCTTGAACCACTGTTGTCTTACGGCGAAGATATTCCCACAATAACATTCAGTAACAATTTAGTACAACAGAGACGTTTACTGCGCTATTTTAGAGTCAACCTCCTTAATGTGGGTTCGATGTAACACATGTAAGACAGTAAGAAACAGGGACAGAAGTAGGACATTTGCCCCTCGAACCCGCTCTGCTATTATAGAATCATGGCTATACAGACCAGACTTCATAATAAGACCATAAGACATAGGAGCAGAAATTAGGCCATTTGGCCCATGGAGTCTGCTCCGCCATTCAATCAAGGCTGATAAGTTCCTTAACCCCATTCTCCCGCTTTCTCCCCAAAACCCTTGATCCCCTTGATAATCGAGAACCTATCTATCTCAGTCTTGAATGTACTCCATGACCTGGCCTCCATAGCCTCCTGTGGCAGTGAATTCCATAGATTCACCACTCTCTGGCTGAAGTAGTTTCTCCTCATCTCCATTCTAAAAGGTCTTCTCTTTATTCTAAGGCTGTGCCCTTGGGTCCTAGACTCTCCTACCAATGGAAACATCTTCCCAACATCCACTCTGTCCAGGCCATTCAGTATTCTGAAAGTTTCAATTAGATCCCCCCCTCATCCTTCTAAACTCCAATGAGTATAGTCCCAGATTCCTCAAACATTCCTCATATCTTAAGCTTTCCATTCCTGGGACCATTCTTGTGAACGTCCTCTGAACCCGCTCCAGGTCCAGTACATCCTTCCCGAGATATGGGGCCCAAAACTGCACAGTACTCCAAATGTGAACCATTTGGTGGTTCACATTTGATAGCAGATTTCTTTCCCCAAGGCACATTTGTGAACCAGATGGGTTTTCACACTTCAAGAAGAATTCATTCTGTCCAGCAAGCCCATTCTGTGCATAATTATACTGTTGTTAACATCGTCTTTTCGTCATTCTTTATGAAACATTGTTTCTTCCACTTCCCCAATGATTCGAACTGTACTATTGCTATCTCCTTAACTATCAACTCCTTCCATAACAAACATTTACAACAAGTCTGTTAAAGTTTCAACTATCCACAATTTACATTTTCTCTGATATTCTCTACTACATCAAATAACTATAAAAATTATTCAGTCGGCTACAATGAACTTTGGGATACTGTCATGCCTGGTAAAGATATCATACTCTTAATTTTCAAGGTGAAAACTTTATGCAATCTTGACTTTTTGATAATTAACTTTAGATGGCTGAGGACTGGATGATCTTTTACAATTTCTGCATGAACTATTAACTCAGCTCCCTGGAAAGTTCTTAAAATATAAATGAACCTGGGTGGGATGTTCTCTGTTAAATGGGAACACTGGAGACAAAACCTCTCAAATTTACACCTCCTATTTTAAACATTGTTAAAAAGGATACAAGAAGTCAAAAGCTTTTCACATTGCATTCATTAGGGCTGGCACACACAAAACAGACTTGATAAAAGTGACACTAATTTATGCAGTCTGGGAAGAAAGTGCAAATTGGTTGGCTGATGGCTGCTTGAGCCAGTGTTGAGTTGATGACTTTAAAAGGATTTATGAAAAAAATTGAGTAATAAGCACAATAACTCGTTCATTGGCAGCCTCTATAGACCACCTGAGCTCGCTAAGTAGTGGAACTGTATAAGCAGAAAAGACAATATGAAATAGCACAGTTACTAAATATACATATGCATCCCATCCAGGCCTAGAATCAACTTTAATTACAAGCAGTCTTTATCGACTTTGAACCTTCCTTGTGACAGTTTCTATCTGTTACTAGTATCTACCTCCTTGATAAAGATAGATACACCAGCCCTGCCTCTTTCTGCATTTGTAAATCCTCTTTTTGGTTCCTCATCAGCCCAACTTGTCCTTTCGATATTTATATGCCTACAGAAGACTTGGGAATTCCCCTTTATATTGGCTGCCAGTCGTTCCTCATAATTCCTCTTCTAACATGCTTCCTCCCTTCTGAATTCCTCTTAGTTCTCAATTGTATTTCCTACCCAACACCTATCATATGCACATTTTTCCTTCTTTACCATAACTTCAGTCTCTTTGGCACTCAAGGAGATCTAGATTTGTTTGTTCTATCTTTCCCATTTGAGGGAATATACCTCCACTGTATTTGAACCATTTCTTCTTTGAAGGTAACCTCTGATACCTCTCTGTATCAGTATCAGTAGGTATAGATGGTCATTTCTCAGATTGGAGACAAATTGAAATTGGTGTTCCCAGGGATCTGCGTTGGGACCCTTGCTTTTTCTGATTTATATAAAAGATTTGGAAATGGCTGTTGAGAGCAAAATCTCTACATATGCAGATGATATTAAGCTAGGGAAAATAGCAAATCAGGAGGATGATGCTGAGCGACTTCAGACAGACATTGACAAGTTGGCCAAAAAGGCAAATACCTGGCAGTTGAACTTCAAATGGAGAGAAATACTAAGTGATGCATTCTGGTAAAACATGAAGAAATAATACAGACTCAATGGCACCACTTTGAGGGAAGCAAAGGATCATGGGGACCTTGGGGTCCATGTGCATAATTCTCTGAAGGTGGCTAGTCAAGTTGAAACAGTTGCTCAGAAGACTTGTATGATCCTTGGGTTTATGAATAAAGGCATAGAGTTTAAAAGCAAGGAAGTGATGCTACACCTCCACAAATCATTGGTCAGACCATATTTGGAGTATTGTATTCAGTTCTGGGCACCTTTTTTCAAAAAGGATGTTAAAGCCCTGGAGAGAGTTCAAAGGAGATTTACTGGAATGATACTAGGAATGAGGGATTTTAGATGCAGGGAATGATTACAGAAATTGAGCTTATTTGCCTTGGAGCAGAGAAAATTAAGAGGTGACCTTATTCAGGTGTTCAAAATTATGAACAATTTTGCTAGGGTAAAGAAGGATACTCTGTTTTCATTCGTTGGTATGTCAATGACTTGAGGTCACAACTTCATGATTGTCCGTGAGACGGCTGGGAGTGAGGCAAGGAGAAACTTCTTTATTCGCATGTTAGGATTTGGAATGCACTGCCTGGGAGAGGGGGGAGCTGGATTCCTTGGGAGATTTCAAAAGAGAACTAGCTATGTATTTGAAAAAGTGATGAATTAAGGAGGCTATGGAGAAAGGGCTGGAGAATGGGACTAGCAGAATAGCTCTTTGGAGCCAGTACAGGCATTGGGCCGAATGACCTCCTTCTGTGCTACAAAATTCTACAATACTAGGATATCCTTAAGACTGATATCAGGGAGGCAACATACCATTTACTGCCGCAGAAATGGCTACCTGTGGGATGTCAAAAGCACGACATTCTTGATGTAAAGCAATACAAGTGGGCTGTATGCTGAACTTCCAAATGTTTATTACTGTATTATGTATAAAATGTGTACTTTTACATCTCATACAAACATTAGATTTTATCTTGCAATTCCAACAGAGAAGCCGAAAAGATTTTCAGTGCTCTGCATGTACATCACTTACAGAAGTGAGAAGCTGAAGGGAAAAAAAAAGGTCTGAAATTTTTTAGCACAAGAAATTATATAATTACAGCACTTTTATGATCTCTAGTGAATTCAAATGATTTTAGGTCACTTCAACTGTGTGGAATTAATAGGCTTCAAGTTGGTAGAAACGTTAGTTTTCCCTTTATTACCTTCTTTACAATCAAGACTGTGGATCAATCCATTTCTATAAAAATCAACTAACTTGAATGTTTCACCATTTAGTTTACGATATGTAATACAAGATGAAGTAAATACTTCGCTAGAACATTACCTTTGACACAGAATTATGAATAAGTTGTCAAAGTTTTACAAACACTTAAAAACTGTCTGGTTTGACTTTTGCATGAGTTTAATGCACAGCTGAAATGTGGGCCTCCCTAGTTTTCTTAGCAGCAACCATCATAACTAAGTGCTCTGTCAAAGCAGTTGTCAATTTCTGGTGTGTGATATTCTCTGTTCCTCTTTTCCTTCTCTCTCCTGATGGTTTCCCCTCAACACACCACTGGAGTTGTTCAGATGGTCCACTGAGTCTGCTCCACTATTCAAGAAGATCACGTCTGAACTTTTATATCCATCTTCTTATCATCTCCTCATTCACTGATAAGGGGCAAGAAAAAGTCAGCGCAGAGATTTGGCAAGAAGCATATTCATATTGCAAGGTTTTGTTGATATGATCCAGTGAAATACATACTGTAGCACTGCTTTGATGCCATATCAATGAGGTTATTTCTCCTGGCTAACGAGTCCAGAGATAGGGATCATCATTTCAGGATAAGGGGGCATTTAGGACTGACAGGTGGAGAAATTACTTCACTCAAGAATATTTGGAATATTTGATATTCTCCAGACAAAGGGGCCTTGAACACTGATTTTTGGCAACCAAGGCAGGGATGGTTGTCAGCTGCTTACTTCTTACATGCTAAAATGACAGTAGAGCCGGTGGTGGCTGGAAATTTTTCTGCATTGTGTCATTGACAACACTGAACCTCAGGGACTGCCAGCAGAGATGGGCCAATAGCTCTTGAAAGCTGAACTGCTTCCAATCAGCAACAGAAGAGCCACTGAAGGCACATTTGGAGGGAAGGACTCAACAGCAACCACTGTTCCCTTGTCTCATACAAGCACCCTAATTGGGCAGTGGAACAATCTATGGCCTAAGATTCAATTCTTCCTCACCGCTCCTCAGAGCAAATCTGCTCCCTTTAGGAGACAACAGGACAAGATAAAAGCTTGGGACTCAAGTAATAAAGCATTAGCTTTTTGCCTAGACTTAATACTAGCACACAGTGAGATGCATAACTCTTGCTTAGGTCATCAATGGTGGTCATAAAGAGACTTACTCATCTTTCCTTGTAATTTATGCTAGAGATCTAAAGACCTACACTTGAACAGCCACATGTTGAGTGGTTGACTGATATATTGATCATTTCAGCATATTACTACCTGAATTTAAATGCAACATTATTTCATAACTGTCACAACGTTCTCACAACCCCTCCACATTACAATAATTGATTAGTGAACTGCAGACCTTGAACTACTTCTTACTTTCCTTGCTTCCTGTAGACCACCTTAGATTGCAGTGCCTCCTAGGTAATATGTGTCATATGTGAGAACAAGTGCGTAAATATAGTTCCACCTTGGGCATAATGAGTGGTATTTTGGGTCAGGTAAATTAACACATGATGGCAAGTATGAGAACTATTTGTTATGAACATGGTGCCTTGCTAAATATCTGGAATTTAGTGCAGGGCAATTTATCTCTCTGTTACATGGTTTCCATCTCCTGGATGGTCATGTAATTGGTCCAGTGCTACCATCCTTGCATCTTCCAGTCTCAACAGATTTGAGCAGCTGTGGTTGATAATTCCGCTTGTAAATAATTATGTAGCTTTGCATCGAAACAGACATGAACAACTGCAGGACATGTTTCAGTGGGTAAACCACCAATTGTGCTACTTGTGGCTCTTTGTCCTTGCTGCAAGCTACATTCAATAGCAGTGCTTCCTATATAAAACCTGGTTGATGCAGGCCCGTTGCACAGTTAGATACGTACACAGACATTTGCTGGCAAATTCTAAGTAAAATGTTATTGCGCACAGCAAATGCATGCTGATCCATGCCCCAAATACAAATGTCAAACAGATAGTGCTTCCTTATCACTCCAGATGGTTCCCAGGCTGTGGCGATACCATGCTGATTAACCTTGAGATAGAGATAGAATATATACATGAATATAAAAGACTTATTGTTAAAATAAATTCAAGGACATTACTTCATATTTTAAAAACCTAATTGGCATACATAAAAAGAACATGTACTGTGTTCTTATGTGCAGTTTCAAAATGTTTAGGTAACTGAAAAGTGGCAGAAACTTGGGACATTATTGCAAATTTTTTCATCTATTAATAGATTCTCTCAAATTGATAAGTTTTCTTACATTATTCCAAGAAATAACATGTAAATAATGGGATAGATAGAGAAAATGATAAAACAAACTTACCCAAACAACTGGATAATACATCCAAATTTGGAGTAGAACCAGTCTGTTGTGAACCAAAGTGAAGAGAAAAAAGATCTAAATTTGTGGAAAAACCTTAATAAAAAAAATCATAAAATGAATTATGTTATAATGCTAACACAAGAGGACACTGGAGGTAGAAATGAGAACTATTCAAGATTTAATTTATATAACAGGGAGACTCTCAAAATGCTGAGGAATCAGTGTGCTCTCATACTTTCTCCACAGAGACAGAGGGGTGTGGTCTGTATTGCTCTTGTTTGAATTTGTATTGTTGAACAACGCTCACTCACAGTTGTCTGTACTTGTCTGAAGTTGTACTTTTGATGGAGAGAGTTTTGATGCAGCCTTTTTTAAAAAAGTGAAAAGTGAAACAGAAACTTGGTAACTTACCACAACATATTTGTCAAGTCTGCTGTTCGGCACATCGACCACACAGCACAGCTATACATGTAAACTGCTGCAGAGACTTTAGTAACAATAAATATACACAGAAGTTCAAAGACCATATTTTATTTGAAGAAGCAGATGCAGCGTTCTATTTGAAAGTTGTTTGTTGTACAGGCTTCAGCAATGACTTTGTTGTTCATATGTAGAAACATTGGGAAGCCAAGAAAGGAAATCTTCAAATTCAGTGAATAACATGACACAATAATGCTCAGAGAAGTAACTTCAGTGCTTAGACTAATTCCAGGTGAAGCACCTACTTAACATAGTAAATGTAACCTCTATGCAATTTTCATACAATTTCACTGTTTCAAGCAATGCGTTCTGTCCATATTATAATATGGGGTTTTGTGGGACCCTTAAGTTTACAAGGACCTGAAACATCTATAATAAGGACTATGAACAAATAACTGAAAAGCAGTAAGGGACCATATGGTTGTTAACACTAGAAGACTAAAAACACATTGTAGAGACAAATTTATTTCATAAATCCATGTGAACCAGTTTTAAATTTAATGACAGGCAGAGAAAGAACCACTGCATAATACACACAAAAATATCATTATCTTTACGTTTCATGATCAAGATGTTAATTATAATACAAACTTTTTTTACTACCACGAGGCATCTTTCATATAGCATTTGTATTAATACAGAATGATAAAACCATAAAGGGAGAAAGTATTAATCAATCTTTTAGATGTGATAATGTGATACATTTAATGCATTTAAAGCAGATGCTACGGAACAGAAATAATAATACTTACAATTATTTTCTTGCAGTCATATGCCCGACACAATTCTGTATGAGTGGAATACTGGACATAAATTACCCAGCTCCCAACAAATACTGCAAGCCATGAAAAGAAGAGGTATTTGACACGTACACATGGCAAGCGGGCCTGTGGGCATAAAAATGGCATTCATTCCATAATTATTAACCTCAAAACAAATTGTGCATATTTTAACTATTCTAAAACAGGTTTCTTTCTGAAAAAAACCATACAAGTCAATTCAGTGTTACAGGCATTCATTGGCTTGTAGTTCAATAGACATCAGGCTAATAGACGTCAGGCCAATAGACATTAAAAAAAAAAAAA